GAGAGAGAGAGAGAGAGAGAGAGAGAGAGAGAGAGAGAGAGAGAGAGAGAGTATATTGCAATCGCAATTAAGCTACAGGTGGCAAATCAAAGAAACACTTGGCAAGCATCTTTGACAGTGTATGTTTAGATCTAGATCTAGATATGAAATCTCTTTCTTATGAATTTGTTACACGCTCAATGTCACAATGTTTTAGCGTCGATCTTTACCAAAGGTTGCAAGTCAGAAACACACGATAACAAGTTTGAGAACAAAAACATGACACGACAAAAGCCAATTGTGATGTATTGGTAAAAAAAAAAAAAAGAGGAGAAACAGGTAGAGGAGTGAGATGAAGACAAAAATTGGGACAAAATGAAAAAAAAAAGGTGATGGTGGGGGAGAGAAATGTTTTTAATATTCAATGTAATAAGAGTTTTACGGCACTTCCGACACGGTTGAGTCATATAAGCGCCGAAGATAAGAGGTGTTACATGTACAAGATAGTAACAAACACAAGAAAGAAGGAGAAGAGATAAGGACGTTAGATGAGGGGGAGAAATTACTAACATTGGAAAGCATTAAACCATGAACACCACTTCAATGTTTGATTGTTAGAAGCTACCAGTTTCCATCTCTCGAGAAATTTTCGGAGGTTCATTCAACTTCGAAGGTTGGTGTAACTGCTCTTATCCCACGGCTCTTTGGGTTAATTGCATATATTTGAGGGTAATAGTGTAAAGTTGTTTTCTTCATTCCTAAGTATGATTGTCGACGAGACATGTGCATGAGGAAAACCGTCTAATCACTGTGCTCCCTAGGCTCGGAATCTTTCATTTGTTTCGGAACGAATCTCGTCGAATAATGTATGGATGACAGGTCTGATGGGTACCACTTTACAGGATTAGCGCGTTCACTTAAGCGGGGGTGCGCTCTTATTCGACGCCGCCAGGTTTTCACAAGCGCTGTGATCAGATAAAATTATTTCCCTTTGATGCTAGCCTTGTGAGAAGCAATTCGATCGCCCCTGATCAATAGTGTTTGGATTGTGCATTTATGGGTCACAGTCAACCCCGTTTCTAAGAGAAATAATTCACGAGATTAAAAAACAAACA